CACTATTTGTTGGTTGGTGGGTGTGCAATTCTATTTCTTTTGGCTTCTTAAATTTTAGTTCCATTATTCCACCAACCACTCTTAGCACTTCTTCTTTACAAGTGTAGAAGAAAAGATGCAAAGAAACAATAGGGCAAAATATGAACCCTACACTTGTAAATTACTAGTTATAATTATTTTGCTTTAATTTGTAGTGCTAAAGAGAGTGAGCCATTTATGGAAGTTGATATGTCATTGTCAAGTTTTCTCTTATTCATCTCTCTCTATGTATATGGTAACCATCACTTGCACTTTGTTCATTTTTCTCTTTTAACCTAAAATTCGAGTTAACTTAATTACTTTAACGATACAAATAAGGGGTATACATTTTCATCAACATGTTTGTTGATACAGTATTCTGTCAAACACCACAGATCAGTTACGATCTAATTGGAGCGAGCTGTCGAAATGTGACCTTCGAGACAGTGAGACATGCACAAGGAACAAATATTCCGAGTCCAATTTAGTGTAAGTTCTAACTGTAGCAAGTCGTTCTCGGAATAAAATAGCGTACCTAGAATGTGGGGCAGAGTTTCCCATTTATAGGTAGGTAGGGAACAAGGCCGTTGGAACTGTTCTGACCCACGATTATAGTTGTCGGACCCCAGGTTAGTGGTCCGACCTGAGGTTGGATTCCTCAGATCGATGGAGCTTTGTCTTTCTTCTCAGCTCGACGTAAATTAAGTCGGCGAGTAGGAATGTTTAGGTTTAATTATCTTTTTTGGTGACTTCGAACTAAGCAGGATCGTCGACGTGTCGATACTTAACTTTTACCACCAACAATATTGATATTTTTATATGTCTATGATTTTTACATCAATATGGTGGAGGTATACCAAAATTTTCATAATATAAAACCGACGAAATATAAAATATATATATCAACAAATATTTAAACACAAGAAAAAATATATAAATCCAGACTTTTCGACTCCTAATTTTGTGGGATGGTTCAAGTGGCAATGAGGACCAATGTAAATAGCAAACGACTTAGAAGAAATGAGTTGAAACCATGATGGACCACCTACCTAGGATCTAGTAGGGGAATAGCACCAATATACTTGAAGTCAAGAGGAATTTCCTTTTGGTTTCCTCTCCTGTGGAATAAAAACAGGTCAAATCTTGAGATATATTTGACCCCAATTAAATCACAAAGTTTTCAAGTTTTGTTTTTCAACAAATGCTTCAGAAGCAGCCACTAGATCCATCAAATGATGATCATGATGTATCATCATGAAATATTGAAGAAAAAAGACATGTAATATTCAAACTAATTAAACACTGTTTTAATTTCTCTGAGTAATATTTATTGGATATATATAATTCAATACACGTAAATGACTGTGATTGTTACATATATATATATATATATTTTCCTATATATCAAAGTTTAATTTATTATATTTAGAGAGCTTAGTGCGTTGGAGAGTCACCTAAAGACGGCAGGACAAAAAAAACTCACACCTAACCCCATTTTATAATGAATCTACATTGAAGTTTCTTTTATGTGCGCAAATTATTTCTTTTTAATTAATATGTTTGAAGTTAGGCCGGCCCGAACAGTTTAGCGGTAATTAACCTCTACCTATTTTTTTTAGGTCCGAAGTTCAAATTTTATGTCCCAATTTATTGTGCTAAAAAAAATACTTGTATTGTTGTACTATATGCATATGAGTAAAAAATAATATGACAAAATTATTTATGTAGAAAATCAGAGGTTTTTTTTTTTTAAATTTTAGAATACGTTAAATATTAGATTTTAGGTCTAAATGATAGTTTAATATATATATATATATATATATATATATATATATATATATATTAAGGAGCTTTTAATTTATATTTAAACCCTAGCATCTTTATAGTTTAGAGAGTAGTGCCTCTTTATCCCTTGGAAAGCAAATATAGCGAAAAAAAAAAGATATATATGGTTTGCCCTTAATTAAGTCAGAACATTAGAAAGCTTACAATTGTATGGAATAAAGTTGGTTTAAAAGAAAATTATTTGAATGGTACAAGTTAAGTATAGTTCCCAGGAACCATAGTAAACTCATAGTTGTTGACATCGATATTTTCATCGATATTTTTATGTATCCATGAATTCGACATAGATATAAGAGTTAAATCGACATTTCCATAATATTAAAAAAAAGAGATAAAATGTAAAATATATCAATAAAATCTTACGACACAATATTAATATTAATTATTTTTAACTAATTTAGAAATATGATGAAATGTTTATTTATCAATTTAAATATTCTTTTACGGGTTTTTCTATTTAATTTTTATAATCTTTCAAGAAATATTCATCAATATTTAAAATCTTAAAATCTTGTTTAATATCAGTTCAAAATATGGAGAGCAGATAAAAGTGATGCAAGTGGTTAAAGATTAATAAACATCTGACTTGACCAGCTACAAATGATAAAGGGGTTGGCTATATGAAAAAGGGAATATGCAGCCAAGAAGAATTTCCATGGACTTTTGCCCTAGTGGGTTGGTATCATAATAACTCTACTTCATATGAAGCCTTTCTCCCTTATCCAAAAAATTGTACTATATATCGTCATTATCGACCATATAATTTTTAGTAATGAACGATCCAATTGATCTTAATTTTTAAAATTTTTTTCCTATTTCTATAACTTTAATTTAGAGGACTTTTATATGTGAGTCTCCTTTGAAAGGTGTGTTTGAGAGTGATTTTGGAAGGGTAAACTTTCATTTCCATTGATATGTTTGGCAAATTAAAATATTGATTTTAGAAAAATATAAAATCACTTAAAATTGATTTTTAAGGTATCATTTAGGTGGTGATTTTGAAAAATTAATTATTCTTAAATCTCTTTTTCCAAAATCACTCGTCCTACCATCACTCCCGAACACACGTTCAACTAAGTCCAGGTGGGCTATAAATAAAGCATTTAAGGGGGAAGAACTAACTTAAAAATTTACATTATTACAATCTTTAAAGAAAAACATGTCAAAATATCTATGGTTTCTATAGCTATTCTTTATTTGAAGTTGATTTTTAGAATATAGTGCAAAGGATTTGTATATATAAATATAGACACACACACACAAAAAGAAGAGAAAAGAAAAAACCTAAGCCTTAGCTTAATTTGATATTTGAATCCTATATGGTTATTAGTGGTTTACAACCAAACACATAGTGATGGGTTATTTGGTGGGTGTATGCTAATCCATTTGGTTAACTTTGGCAATGGCCTTACAGCAGCCTTTGATTCTGACTCCCACAAACCCTATCATCTATGCATAATTTTTTATTCCCAAAATGGTTGGTACAATTTTCATTCATTAATATATAATACTCTCTCATTACAAATATTAAATATCATAATATTTGATCTTAAATAATAATATCTAATCTTAAAGGTGATAAATGGAAAAAAAAAAAATAGTAATGTTATTAGATATATGAATGAAAGGGAAGTACACTTTTATATCATATGTGCTACTGAACAATCCTTTTACATAATAACACCATATCGATAGTCGTCGTTGACTTAAGCATAGTATAAATGGTTAGATATCTATGAATTCGAGTAAATTTTCTTTTTCTTTAACCGTAAAATCTATACATTCTCGGTTTCTCTTCCATGTCGGGTTTCATAACAATCTTCATATGCACTTGAGAAAGATTGAATCTCCCCCAACTTTTTTTTTTCAAACTCAAGTCCAACTTTTTGTGTGCTTTTATGCTTTATCGGCCAATTGTGGAATTTTGCATCAGCCAAAGGACAGATGTGTGAGAGCATCATCCCTTCCAAAATAAAAACCTTTTCCCGTACCAAAAAAAAAAACAAGAAAAAAAAATTAGAGAGAGAGATTATGGTCCTTGTAGAAATGATTGAGACTCAATTGGGATTCAAAATATTGATTTGAAAGGAAAGTAAACAAGTTAGACGCCAGGAAGGATAACGATTACAACTAAATATTTTTTGGTAGAATTATATTTAAATCATGTTCACCGTAATCCACTTTATTGTATTAAATTTAATCGAAACAAAATTTAATGGTCAATTTGAACACAGTTTAACGGGTTAAGTCATCTATTTTCGATTAAAATTAAAAGGCGGTGAGTTTGAACATCCTTACTCTATGTTGTACTAGAAAGAGAATAAAAAACAAAATTCAATGAACTTAATCTCATTTCTCTTATTGTTTAACAATGAATTCAATGAGTTTATCAATCCAATCATAAAGACCTCCTTCAACACAGTGTTACTTATATCAATCCGAATGAGATGAAAATAGTTCAAAATGTAAATTTTTTAAAGGTAGGTTTGGTAACATTTATGTATGTTTCTTGTTTTTCATTTTCATGTTTTTTTGTTTATTTTTATTTTGGAAACGAAAACGAAAATATATTTGGTAACCAATTTCTTTTTCTTTTCTTTTTTTTTTGTTCTCTAACATTTTAAATTAAAAAACTAAACATTTTAAAAGAAATTTAGTTTTCAAATAAAATATATTTTGCATTTTAGAAATAACAAAATAATAGGGAAAATGGAAATATTATAACAAAAAGGTGAAACTTGATTATCATCTTGTTTTAAAAAATTTCTACCTAAATTTAGAAATGATTCTTGAAAAATGAAAAACGAGAAATTTAAACCATTAATAAATATTTATGTTTCTTAAAAATCAGAAATGTTGCTCAACCAAGCTTGTTTTTTTAGATTTAGAGACTTAAAACCACAGTGTATATATATATATTATCTAAAAGATCAGTTTAATTTGATTTGACTTTTGATAATGGGATTCTCCCAACCCTTCAATGGCAACATGAAAAAATAAGTTACATTAGCCTAAGCAAATTCCTGCCCTTTTCTTCGAAAAGGGAAAAAAAAAAAAAAAAAGGTTTTGGCTAAATCTAAAACCCCATCAACTTGACACCTCAAGATCTCACAAATACCTATAAATAAGGGCTTCCCCAATCCCATTTCTTCCCAACAATCTCATCTTCTTCATTTTTTCTCTTTGAGGATTTTCACAAACAGTTGTTGCTAATTTGAGGCCATGGAGCTCACACTTAAATGTGGCTTTTTCTGCCTGTTGGCTGTGCTCTTGCCTATGTTGTGCTTCTCTCAGGATGGTTTCGTCGCTTCGAGAGCCACTTATTATGGCAGCCCCGATTGCTACGGGACTCCATGTACGCATCGTTCCTCTTCTCTTCTCTATTATACATAAATATTTTATCTCTTTAAAGTTTAACATTTTGATGCTATCGATTATGATCATATTCAGCGGGGGCTTGTGGATTCGGTGAATTTGGAAGGACAGTTAATGATGGCAATGTCGCTGCAGTTTCATATCTCTATCGGAATGGCTCTGGTTGTGGTGCATGCTATCAGGTATCAAATATCACATAAAAAATATGAAATAACTGCCCATATGAGTTTAGCTAAGTGATAATTGACATTTATCTCTAACCAAGATGTTATGAGTTCGAATTTACAAATGACAAAAGAAGAAGTGAACTCATTTTATTATGAGCAGTTGATCAAGTTATTAATAATTATTTAAAATTTACATCCAAATTATAATAAGGTTGGAAACGATTTGTAAACTATAAACTAAAAAATGATTGAACCCACTTGGAACTGATATTTTTAATGCACAACATGACAATTAGTTCATTTCAAAAAGAGGACATTTTCAACATAAAATTAGAAAAAGGAAAAAGTTTCATTCTTTAAATAACCCACTTGTGCTAATTAACTATTAATATTTAGTTTTTTTTTTCCCTATGTTATAAGTACAACAACAGATGAAAAATGTTTCTTTTTTCCCCAGGTTCAACATAAAAGAAAAGGGCAAAGTTCCCAATTTTTTAAAAAAATTACCCACCTAGCTAATTAACTAGGGTTAAACACTATTTTGATGGTTCTCCATTCAACTTAATTCATTTTTGGCTTATATATATCATTTTTAACTTTTGTTCATTTAGTTAGGGTTTCTATACTCTTAAAAACATCTATTTTTGTCTCTATATTTTTAGAAAGTGATCCTTTTGAGTTAATTAAGTACAAATAATAATATTCGATCTAACTTGTGATAATTTAATGTTAATGATTCAGGTTAGGTGCACCAATCCAACATATTGCAGTGATAGTGGAGCATATGTAGTGGTGACTGACCATGGTGAAGGGGATTACACTGACTTTATCTTGAGCCCACGAGCGTATGCAAAATTGGCCTATCCAAACACAGCCTTAGACTTGTTCTCTCGTGGTGTGGTGGATGTGGAATTCAGAAGGGTTTCTTGCCAATACCCTAATTACAACACTCTCAAGTTCAAGGTCCACGAGCACAGTAGATACCCTGATTACTTGGCCATTGTCGTCATCTACGTCGCTGGCAAAAACGACATCACCGCCGTCCAACTGTGGCAGGTATACGTTTTTCATTTTCGTAGTATCCACACACGGTATCAATACTTATGGGATGTCCATGTATATTATAAACTTATGCAAGGTCCCTTTCTTTTCAATGTGGGATCCTTAACATGTTCTCTTTAAGATCGTGGTTCTTTTGACTTATCGATTTTGGTCGGATCCCATTTTTGATCCGAATGCTCGTTTGACCTTATTGGATTATGATATCATATCAATATTCATATTCCATCTCGAAACCAATTGGCAATGAGAGGAGTAGTCTATGTATATATTATAAACCTATGCAAGGTCCCTTTCCTTTTCAAGGTGTGGGATCCTTAACAATAGGAAGGTTTGAGTTTCTAACCCCTGTGAAGTCATTTCCTCCTCGATTAATATCAATGACGAACCACTTTGTCTGGCTTTGGGCAGATTTTTAAATTTATTGTGTCTCATCAGCTTAAGCTTTCGAAAAAAGCAACTTCAATACTGAACAATCGTGTCGTTTTTGAGCTAATTAAGGTTTCGGGTGCGTTTGATGATGCAGGAGGATTGCAAAGAATGGAAGGGGATGAGGAGGTCCCATGGAGCAGTGTGGGACATGGCAAACCCACCAAAAGGAGACATAAAGCTGAGGTTCCAAGTGAGTGGAAGTTTGGGATATGGAAGGTGGGTGATGGCAAACAATGCCATCCCAAATTATTGGAAGGCAGGAGTTGCTTACGACACAGACATTCACCTCTATTAGAGCTGCTCCATAGAATTTCTTACAAAACCCATGTAATGAATTATTGTGTTGTAATATGAAAATCATACTTTAATTTTGTGTTTTGGTAGTTTAATTAGTACTAATTAAGCTGTGTGATCTTGCTTTGGTCTTTTATGTGGGTAATCTTCAAGTTGTTATTTTTGTGGGCATTTTGTACTGGTCAGGTGGGTGCAATAATTTATGTTTTATGATATGATTTGTGTACTTTTGGGATTGGCATATGTTATATAAAGGAAATATGGAAATAAAATATTAGTTCCACCAACTTATGTTTTAATGGTGTCTTTTCCTGCTGTCACCATGAACGTAGTTCAACAGTGATGGAAATGCACTCTTTTCTTTGAGGTTTGAATCTCTTTTGGAGAGTTTTTAGATCGATCTCTTTCGTACTTTACTTTTTTTTTTCCCTTCATGTTTAGTGGGCTAAACTAGAGATTGATGGAATAAAATATTCATCCATGTATTAATATATATCCTATTTTTATAAATGGGAGGGTTTAATATTGAAATTATGAATGGTTAGATATATCATATAAATATAAAATAGTCAATATCATGAATTTGAAAAGTAATAATAACACGAAAGGAGAAGTAATTTAGGAGCAAGGTTTTACCCTTCAAGATAAGTCGATATTTCAATCGATATTTTTTATATTCATAGATTCGACGTCTATAAAGGGATGAAGAAAATATAAAAAAAATATGAATAAGATATCACTAAAATATAAATAATGCACACTATTAAATAAGAATAGTTTTAAGGGTAGAATTTTATTGTTTTATTAAAATATTTTCATCATTTTTTTATTTTTATAATTTTTAAAGAAATATCTATCATCGTCATTTTATCAATATATATTTACATCAACCTTTTCATTAAATTGAGATCCCATTAAATTGAGATCTTGATATTTTTATCCCTTTTTTGGAAAAAAAAAATCTTAAAATTAATAAATAAAAAAAGAAAAGAAAAGAGAGGAAAATAGCCGAAAGTAAATTTGAACAAAAATAATAATAATAATATTTTTCTTTTTGAAATAAAAATAATAATAATAATAGGTCCAAAGTAAAACCGACCGTACATCGAATTTCAAATATTGTCGTTTAATTTCAACGGAATGGCGCGAAGACCAAAACTCGCTCAACGGTCCAAACCCTTTCAAATTCCCAATCTCTCTCAGTCCCTGCTCCAATTTGATCAACAAGAGTTCTTCTTTTTCTTCCAACTTGCGGTGATTTGGAAACACGACGCTATGGATTTTGCCAGAAGATGCGAAATTAGCTACGATCATCACGGCGCCGCGCCCGAGAACGAGGTCCGAGGAGCAGCGATCTGAGTGGCCGCTCGATCAATTATTCATCAAGGGCGGCTCAGATTCACAAATGGGCTCGGTTATGTAAGTATCTAGGTTAGATTGATGAAAATTTGTTGTGCGGTTTGGTCTATTGCTGTAATTAGAGTTCTCAGGAATTAGGGTTCCGAATTTCAACTGAAATAATTTGGGGATCGTGGGAGTAAATTCGATTTGCAGATGAATTCGTCTGGCTTTCTGATTGAATGCTATTGAAACCGGAGGAGTGCTGTTCCTTTGATGATTATTCTGGTCGAGGCTTGTGATTGGAAGCTCCTGGTTTACTTTAACGAGGAAATTAAGTGTTCTTGAAACAGAACTTCTGATAGATTACCTTTGTTTAGTAGATGGGTTTGAATTTGAAATGAAGTAACCAGGTATTTCCTCTAAAAATTGACTGTATTTTTTCTGTTTGTTTGCTGAGAAGCTGTTCTAGGCTCCTCTTTATGAAAACAAGAATATGGCAGTTTCAATGGAATCATCTCTGCTGATTACCCTGTATATTTGGAAATATCGTTTCTTGTTTTGCAAATATTGTTAGGGGTAAAACGAGTGCAAACACGTGGCCTTCCCCACCAAGACACATGTGTTTAGACAGGCCAAGGACGAGGAGGAAGGCCCCACACATGCCTGAGGCGGAGCTCAGCTCAGCTTCGACCGGCAGGAGATCCTGACCGGCGAGAAATCTACTGACATTCGATGGTTTGATGATTCTGCTATTAAAAGATCTTCCAATTGCGGGTAGAAACCCATAGAATGGTAGGTACAACCGCTACAATAACAGAGCCACGGTTCCCAATGCTCTCCTTGTATAAAACGTAGTGTCCGACCTTCCAAAAGGTACGTAATCTCTTACATTCTACATAAGCTTAGCTCAACACTAACTTGGACGAAGTACTAACTTAAGTTTTGAAGTATAGCGGTGAAGTACCGCACCAGTGCTAAGTTTTGCTGTAGGTAGTTCGACAGTTCACGCTAGAGTCCACCTCAAATTGCCTTCTAACAGTGTCACCTCGGCCAGAATGATACATCAACAAACTTGTTCTGAAAACCAGGAGGGGAGATTTGTGTATATTGCAAATTCTTAGATGGATAAGAGATTATGTTTTTTTTGTCCTGCTGGAGCTTGTGTGTGTTGAGATAGAGATTCTCAAATTGTGTTGTTTTTTTCATTGCAAAATATTCTCGCTCAGATATCAGATGCTATATTCCTTGATTACGCTGTTGGTCCACCTCCACTAATTCTTGGAGAAATTTCTCCTCTCCAAAGTCAGTTAAATAGACAACAGAGATTTTGAATTATTTAATCACTCATTTTGAGGGCTCGAACCCATAAGGTATTTTCAAACATCCCAAACTCTTTTCATAGAAACCCCGATCTCGGTCTCGCATAACACGGTCAGAAGATTCGGAGGGGGAGCAGCAAAAAAGGAGATTTGTTTATGTTGTGTAATGGCTTCTACTTGGTTTCTTTTATTCTATTTATAATGTTCATTTCTTCAGCTTCCATGTTGTGAATGGTGAAGTAAGAGTCATCTTATTATCTCTTGGTGTATTTTTCTAGACTTGTGAAAGTTGTAAACAGACAGGGCTAAGAAAAGGCTGACTTGTGAACAAAGCAATAATGGAAATCTTGTTTGTAGGATGAGCAAACAAAATTTCTTGATTTTAACAACCAGTGGGCTTTCTAAAAAATGTTGTCTAGTGAAAGAAAAATAGTTTTTTTTTTCTTCCAAACTTTTTAGAAATTGGAAGATGAGATGTGACAAAGACAATGAAACACATACATTTCACTTTCACACATGACAAGTCCTTTGGAACAAACAAGAGACAAATTCAAAATTCAATTGTAAAAAGAAATACACCCAAATTCTCAAGAGGTGTTTTCCACAATTGATCTAAAATTATAATCCATTGATATTAACCTTAAATGGTCCTACTTATCCATTCTTTTTGACTTTTTTGAGATGGCAAACTTGACTTCTTCGTATCTTGTTATAGTGGTTTGAATGGCTGCGTCAAAATCGAAGCCTACCCCATCATTATCCTCTGTCTACATAATATCTCTTTAGCAAGATTTTAAATGTCGAGGTCTCAATTTTTTAGCAATGTCAGAAATATCAATAACATGTTGATATCGATGACTACCAAGGGATACTAAAGAAATGTTATGTCTACATTAATAATATTTGTTCTTATATTTTGTCGATATATAGTGATACTATAAAAATGTCAATTAAAGACTCCTTTATATTCATGTCGAACCCATAGACCTATGAAAATGTCGACAGAAGTGTGCAAGGAATCATTGCTTGATGGAAGTTGCGTACTATGTGGCTTGAACCCAATAGCTCAAGGTTATTCCTTAAGGCCCCAAGCCACCCAAGTTATCTCTCGGGGACACAACAACAACTGTAGGAGTGAGAGATTGAACCTCCAACCTTTAGAATAATAGTAAGATACTTTAACTACTGAGCTAAACTCATGTTGGTGGTGTAGTTGTTCTTAAAAGTTGTTAGTTTATTTTTATAGACAATTTGTTTTCATAATAATTAGAGTTAATATTATCTTAATATTACAAGCCATCTAGTTAAGGTTCTTAAAATTCGTTTAGAATGACTATATCAAATAGTTTAGAATTGAGTAATGCATACTCTTTCGTTTCTAATTATAGTTTCAACTCATACAAAATTATCATCAACTAGAGTATAGCTTTAATAGATAAGACACTAAAAAATTGATGATTCGATTTCCATCCGATTGAACTAAAAAACAAAAATAAAAAATATCGTACTATTTTGTTGAACAACTATACATTAAAATTATTTATTTGAATTAAAAATGTTGGACCTACCAATTATACAAATTGATTTTATATTTTTATTCAGAGTTGGAATCTCTATCTCACTTGCGTACTTTTATTAAAGGGACTAGGGGTGTTTAGGGAACTCGACAACCCGACGAACCCAACCCAACCCATGGGTGGGTTGGGTTGAATCTAACATTGGGTTGGGTTGGATTGGGTTTCCAACCCGACCGAGTTGGGTCGGGTCTCGGGTTGACCCTTGAAAATGTCGGGTCAACCCGACCCGACCCAAGTATATATGTTTTTTTTATTATATATATATATATATATATTACTTATAATATAATATTACATATATATAATAAATTAATAATTCTTATTTTTAAAAACTCAATCTCATCCATCCATCCATTTTGAATTTGTGTTTAAAAAAAACGACAACCCAACCCGACCTAACCCGAATTTCTTAGGTTGGGTTGGGTTAGGTTGGCCATCAATTTGGGTTGGGTTGGGTTCTACATATGGTCAACTCGAAAATTCGGGTTGGTCCCAAAAAATCTGTTAACCCGACCCAATCCAACCCACGAAGAAATGCACATTATGGAGAAATCATGTTGTTGAATCTAAAGATGGAAATGATCGTTAATAAATAGGGGATGAGATTTTATATTGAGAGGAGAAAAGGATAATTAACATTATCCATAAAACTACCCATGAAAGTTGAAAATACATTTTTTTTCTTTTTTTAATTTAATGATTTGTGCAGGTGGGAATTCGAAAATTCGATAGGTAGCTATAAAAAAATTATAATGTCATTTTTCATTTTTTTAGATTTATAAACAATTTAAATGTTTATTTGTTGAAACTTCTGAAACCACTCATGCCAATCACAATTATAAAAACTTTTCTAAATAATATAAATAGTCATTTTTCATATTTAAAATAAATTTTCAAGATTATTGAAGCCATATAAGATATATTTTTTTAAGGTTAAATTATGAAATTAGTTCTTCGACATTAAAAGGTCTAATAATGTCTAATTATATCTCTAGATTTTAGATAAACACGAACGTAATAGGATTAATATATATATCATGATAAAGATCATATCAACATTAGCATTTTTTTCCATAGGATTAACAAAGACTAAATAGAAATGTAATCTACTATAAATTGAAAATTTTTAAAGTGGAATTTGTAAGATCAAAATTGTATTGGAAAAGTAAAAAGAAATCAAAATTTCATTGTTCTTGGCACATAGAAAAGTTGGGAAAAAGACAAAAAAAAAATCATATGGGGTTGAACAGAACTGTAAACAGAAGATTCACCCAAAACTCAAACTGCCTTGCATTCAAAGATGTTGAAACTATCATTCTACATCACTTAAAAATTATAAGTATATATTTTACAAATCTTGTGTTAACCTATACAAAATTTTCACCCAAATATTCATGTTTCCATCACTCAAACTTCAAAGGGTGAAGTGAAGAGAAACATAACCCGCCATTCGACCTCATTTACCAACATTTATTTTACAGCGCCAGAACGAGCAAGTCCCAGCCAGGCACACTTGTTATGAATGGAAAATACACTTGTTAGTGATGAACAAGATGGGGGTGAACTGAGCTACTACATGTGCTGGCCTGCCTACCCCCAGAGCGAGAGGTCGGGTGAAGGAGCTCGGCCTGCGGGAACGAGCTATTTGACCGCACATCGAGCAACAGATCTTGATCTGAACTTGCTTCGGCGAAATTTAAAGATTCAAGCATGAGGGAGCTTCCATCCGGAGGCAAGGCAAATAAGCTTCTAGGACTGAAGCAAGAACCATCATTCTCTCCAGGATCCTTATTTTCCTTCATCACCAACCTTTTGGGACTCTTCATGATAGTCTTTACCTCTGAAGATGGAAAAGATTTACTGAGTACGGGTCATTACGAACCGATCAAGAATTTGAAAACGATAGCATTCAAGTAATAAATTCTGCAGCAGATCATTGTTCAGTATCGTATTGGCAAAGTAATCGTTACGAGCTCATTCTTAGATAAAGAGATGCACAACTCCATGTACTAAATGTATGCCCCTTATAATTCTGCGATCCAGATTCGGGCAAAACATGTGTTTCTTAGTTTTACTATGCAGACAAGCCTTCTCCAAGGTGACGTGTCGAATTTTGTATTAAATGTTGTTTACTATACAAAAAATTATGAAGGGGGAGAAGAAAATCTTACAGAGTTAACAGCATTCACAAGACGATTCTCCATTTACCTGGAATATTTTGATTGTAGCTCTCACGCAATCGCTTAACATTCATGAAGTTACTCGATGCCGATGCATTGGCATTGGAAAGAAAAGATCCTTTGCAACCATTTTTACACTTCTGCATCAACACAATACTAAGGTCAAGATGCATATTAAAAAATTTCTCCTTGCCTTCTCATGAAACAGAAACTTAATTGCGATAAAATCAGTTCTAACCTTTAGTTGATGATATCGTTCGACCCATTTGGATTCTGAAGAATTATATAGTACAAGCCTTTTCAGAGTCTTGCAGTCTTCAGTCTTCGTCCCCAGGAAGGAGACATCGAAAACGCCCTCCCTGAGCAGTTGTTGGAAGGAAGTTAAATTCTCCTTGAAATAGGAGCTGTCAAACATGCTCTTGAGGCTGCACATAAAACAGCACAAGCAACTAACATGTGAGAAAACTAATAGTGCACTCTATTAGAATTTAGACTTGAGTCAAACATTAAATAGAAGAGCATTGATTAACATGAATGAAAAAAATTCTTACGTCTCGGGAAGTTCAGCGACATCGACCTGTGGTAGATACTTCATTAATTGCTGTTGTTCTTCATTTGTCAGTTGTCTCCCAAACTCTCCGAAGTTTATAACGTCCTAGATGCAAAAACGAAATATATTCACAGTAAGAACAAAATGCTCAAGAAGAATGATATGATCCAGCAAGCAGCAGATACATAAATATTTATCAGAATTCTCAAGTAATATATGTGATCTCAGAATCAACATGCAAACTTAACTTTTATGATAGAATCAAGCAAGAACCTAAAAGACGCAACTTACATTTATATCTACATCGCATAAGGGCGAGTTATGGTTTCCAAGAATTTGTAAATTTTCGAGATGAGAGTCGTCCCTGCAATTTCATGAGAAAGAAGAATGATGATTGTTCTTGATGCTGGAATATTGTCCACATGAAATTACACTGCTTTCCTAATGTAATTGACACTCTCATCCCCAAGCAAATACTTGATACACATTCATAGTTAAGCATTTAGCCACATCTTTATAGTTTTACCCTGGCATGATAAATGAAACCAAATGCCGTTTTGTAGGACTACTGAGCAGCTATAGCTAAATGAGAAGCCCATGCTCAGACCCAAAAATGTGTCCTATCTTGTATATTGACAAGCTCAGACACCCCTTTTCTATCTTTGTTCATTTTTCACTTGAACCATAATGGAGATTCTACCTCGTATCAGAGTTCTCTAGACGAAAGAAAACATTGGACAGCCCACTGTCTGCATCCAACGTACACATTTTATATATCCATGAGTGTTTAGACCCAGCATATCCGCACCTCAACTGTTCTCACAAAACAATAACTTGATCCTACTATATTTAGTAGCCAAAAAAATTCGTAGGATATTTCCCACGAGTCTTTTATGTTTTCATTGGCTCCAATGACCATTATGACAACCATCTAACTCTACTGCATTCTATATCTTCATCTTCGACCAAATTAAGAGGTAAGGGAAAATTCAATTTTGTACAGTAAATTAGACTTGCCTTTTCATCTGTTCTTGTTGTACCCCTGATCCAGAAGGATTCTTCATCTTCCCAATCCTAGATGTCGGAAAATTCATACCCTTGTTTTCTCCACGTACACGAACAGTTGCAGAATGGGGGGAGTGGACCTCATTCACCAAGTATTGCTTGTTATCAACTGACACCGAGCTAGCTTCAGATTCCTCTTCTCGAGCTATCGAGCTTGGATGCTTAATGAGAATGCTTCCATGACCTATCTCAACAGAGACCATAGGTTTTTCACTCTCAAAAAGCAGATCATCCTCAGACGTTCCGGAGAAATAGGAAGATCTCTGCTCATGTAAAATAGAATATAGATCTTTAGTTAGTTTTTCAACCGGCGATTGCTTTGGACGACTCACGCAGGTCCTCTTCCTGGAAGGCACCATGGTCTCCCATACTATTGATTGAGCAGGACCTTAAGATGGCCAAATGGTGGATGTTTACAGTCAGAATTACACAGCTCATCACAAACAGGCATAACATAATATAACAAAATCACTCATTCTGACTCAACTACAGCAACGGATCCATATTGAGGAAAAAAAAAAAAACTAAAAACTGGGTAGAGTTAGTTTTAAGAATTAAGTTATTATGAAAAACTTTCAGTAACAAACAAAAATTAATAGTTTAAAGGATTTAAGTCTGTTCCATGGCTACCAATAACATTATTAAAGGAACATAGAAGATGTTTATGCATTAAACTAGCTTAAACATTTTAATTTTCCAAAATGTGCATTACTTTTCACCTTTTTAAAAAATATCATGTGAACCAATCATTTCTTATAAGTTATTCTTTCTAATGAGCATAAGAAGTACTGACATGAACTTCCTTTTCACCTAAATGTTACCATTTGCTTAACAATTAGGATCAGCTTGTGAAAGCTATAACAATGTTTATGTAATTGAGCTGTAATAATTAAGAAGAAGATTTCCAGTGGAAGGTTTCTAAAAGGCTCTACTAATCATCAAGAGTTGATTTCAGTGTTTAACCTGTCAAATCGCTTGCATCCGCACTGCTGAAATGGGCACAGCTCTCAGTATTAGATATGGCTGATCCGGAACTGGATCTATTGCTTGCGTCTTCATCCAAAACTCTATGGAAACCCCGACATTGATCGGGAAAATTCCACTCAATTGATCCATCTGCTTGTTGCAGCTTTCTCTTTAGCAGTTTCACTTCTTTGTTTTTATTTATTGAAATGCTCTTCACTCTGGAAACCCTGTTATCTTCATATTCATCAGGATCAGCCCGAGCATGCAAAGGGGTATAGTTTGCAAGCGTTCCCTTCGTCCTCCATCGCGATCCACATGCATTGCATAATACTGGTTTATCAGGAGGCCCATTACGCCAAAGAGGAGTGCCTGTTTCGGTGCTTGGACATTAGATACTCGGAAGTTAAGCTCAATGTGCAGGTACAGAGAGATTCAAAAAGTGACGATCTATGAAATTATCAAAACTACAGATCTGAAGCTGTAGAGTTTTCCACACAACAAAGCAAAGAACCCAATTCTTGACCATAAGAATGCAATGAGTTTCTGGTCGGAAAATGCATAAAGATGGCAGCATAACTAAATGTTTAGGTTGCCACTAAATTTATTGCATTTGCAGTAAAAAATTTATAAAAAGTCGGTATGAATATATGCAGGTACAAAATACGTTTATAAATTTCTTAAGAAAGAGAATAGAGTTTCAAGTCCAACCGTGAAGAAAGTTAAACTGAAATCAAGGAAAATAGTTATTCAACTAACAGATGTTAGTAATTACTAAGAAACAAATGCTACCAATGCTTACATAGTGTAAAACAAATGCTAAAGACGAGGATAGAACGATTCAAGAAGCCTTTTTAACAACATTGGTTGCATTAACTGGTTTCTTACATAACCCTGTGATTAAAGAATTTGAAAGGTCTGGTTTAAGTTGATTTAACAAGTCCATCCACTCTAGAATACATATTTTCTATGAAAAATTAGAATGCTGCTCGACTCGCCTTATGATGAAATAAGGGAAAGACAGCCAATTCCATATGGTAAATTAACCATATACATGTGACATATCACAAATGAAACTTTGGTTCTGGATTACTCGTTTGACTTCTTATAGGATCTAGCAAGAAAAAAGGTTGAATCTTCTCCTTCAATGCTCTGGCAGATTTTAGAGCCATATAAATTGATCTTAAGACTGATTTTATTCACTAGCATTATTCATCTGATTTTTTCAGTAAAACCAGAATCCCATTACTTGAATACTAAAAAATTAAATAACCAACAAGAATAACATAAAAAATGAAGCCAGCACGAAACCACCATGCTTCACTAAGGACCCATTTGATAATGATTTCGTTTTTTGTTTTTTGTTTTTAGAACAGGAGCGAGTCATTCAAATTCAGAAAGCTAAATGTTGAATCACACAAGGTGTATAAATGTATTTAAGCACAGGTCACCTGTCAAGACTGAGAATATAAAAACATGAATTGTGATTAAACTCAATATCAAGATCAATTACAAACTCATGAGAAATGGTACTACCGCATATTATTCACCCAAAAACAGAAACAGAACAGAAGTCAGAAAACACCAAAAACTCAATAGAAATGCCAATTACAAGACTATTGGTTTGATGAATGAATTGAGAGACATAAATGCATTTACTCCTGAAGAAATTCAGCACAAAACAGAAAGTAAGGAACATTCAAAAACTATAATTCAGAGAGGAGCATATATATCTTAGATTGAATTTTGTTTCTTCTTTGTTTTCTTTGGGAAATTCTCCTCCTATTTCACAAACCCAATGAGGAATTCATACGTTTGAGCAAACGAGAGCAATGGCAGAACAAAGGTTTTAGAAACCAAGCTGAAAATCAACACTCTTTGAAAATAAACATGGAAAACAAGAACTAAATAAATACACAAACTGGAGGAACAAGAACTCACTTGCAACTCCACAGTGACAGCAAGGTCCATGCTTCCCCATGTCTCTCTCTCTTCCTTTTCTTTTCCTCTTTATTTATTTAAATATTTGGTTCTAGAGTAAAAGAGAGAATTCGAAGAAAGTTTGACTTAAATAACTTATTTATTCACACACACACACAAAAATTCAAGAAAATTGTGAAATATGATTGTTCTGTAAAAAAATCTGTAAGCATATACAACTGGGTGTAAGAACAAAAAAAAAAAGGGGGCTTCTCTGCAACAAACCCAAAAGGAAATTTGCAGAAAGAAAGAGATGGCAGAAAACCCAGAAGAGTTATATGTCAAAA